ATTCTCACTCATTGGTGCTTCTAGCTATCTCTCCCTTTCCCTTCCTCTCTCTCTCTAAACACAATAAAAAAAATTTTTTTGGAAAAAAAAAAAAGAAACAATGATTTTGGTGATAGAAAATATAAGATATGGAAATATTTTTTGAAAGAAAAAAGTTATTCTAAAACTGGTTATTTCTGAAGGGTTAAAAAAAGGTTTGTGAAAAAAATCTTAAAATTATAAGTTAACTAGTGAATTTAATTAAATGAATCTAAAATGAACTATATAGAATTTGTTCAGTCATTTTTCAGACTGTTAAAAGGGAAAACGTTTTTCCTGTATTTTTCTAGGAAGCAAAGGTTCTACGTACTATTGAAATGGCTGTGTTACACTATGTTAATCTGATACTTGATTACTTAACAATCCATTTTCTTTTTTTTTCTTTTTTTTATCCTCATCCAAGGACATTTTTCCATTTTTTGTACAGATAGAGTGGGAGGGAGAGAGGAAGGGAGAGAGAGAAACATCGACGTGAAGGGACACATCGAGTGGCTGCCACCCGCACGACCAACCAGGGCCGGGGACAAACTGCAACTGAAGTACGTGCCCTTAGCGGGAACCGAACCCGGGTCTCTCCGGACCGCAGGCCGACGCTCTAACCGCTGAGCCAAACCGGCCAGGGCAACAATCCATTTTCTTTCTTTCTTTTTTTTTTTGTTGTTCACATAGAGTGGGAGGCCAAGAGAGGAAGAAAGAGAGAGAGAAACATCGACATGAAAGCCACTCACATGACCCAACCAGGGCCAGGGACAAACTGCAACAGAAATACGTACCCTTCAGGCTATTCTGAAATATTGTTTTACAAAAAGTACAGGATTCTGTGTCAATTAAATCTATGACCTGTCAATTTAAGTTTCCTTTTTGTCATTTACGGACAATCATTGTTTTGCTCTGATGCATTTGCAAAGATGGTGCATCTTCTGCAATATCCATAAAAAAAGACTCTGACTTATTTTATTTTATTATTATTTTTTTTTTTATCCTCACCCGAGGACATTTTTCCATTCTTTGTTCAGGGAGAGTGGGAGAAAGAGAGAGGAACAGAGAGAGAGAGAGAGAGAAACATCGACGTGAAAGGAACACATCGAGTGGCTGCCACCCGCACAACCGACCAGGGCCGGGGACAAACTGCAACCGAGGTACATGCCCTTAGCGGGAACCGAACCCGGGTCTCTCTGAGCCGCAGGCCACTGCTCTAACTGCTGAGCCAAACCGGCCAGGGCTTTTAAATTACATATCTAAAAATACTTTTTTAGAGAGTCCCATTAAACTAGATGAAAATTACTAGAACTCTGGGGAACATCTGGATTTATGGAAATACTGGCAAGAAAAATCAGGGGAAACAGAATTTGATTATGGGACTGAATGAACTAAAAATGTTTTTTGTAAATTTTATTGTTTTTGCTAATTTTTAATCTTTTTGTTTTCCAGACATAAAGAAACTAGTTTCTTTTCTTAAAGCAATTTAGTAAGTTACACTTCCATAAGCAATACTGAAGCATTTATATTTTTCTATTGATCCCTCAGAATTTGGAAGCCCTTAATGAGTATTATTACTTTCATGGCAATATGTTTATTTGCATGAATCCAATAGAAATCTGATTTCTTCATAACAAGACACATAAACCCAGTTTCCAATTGTGGTTTTATTAACCAACACTTTGACTGGAATGCCATGTCTGAGAGAGACATGCCAGGACTCTGGACATCACCAGAAAGCTTTAAGGAATGAAGACTGACTTTGAAGCTGAAAAAGCCCCTTGGAGACATGGCCTGGTACCTGGCTTGGCCATGTGGTTCATTGCAGTCTTTCCAAGTAAGGAATGAAGGTTGCTTTCCTGAAAGATGGCAAAAAGGAACCTCAGTATCTTTGGGAACCTCAAAGACTTGAGGACACAGGTACCTTGGGCACCGCCTGATAGCAATTGTGGCTTTGGCTTCTCTACCCTCAGGGGCAGACTGTTAAACAGCTCCCTAGAGCTAGATCTACAGATTCCTTATGAATGAGTAATATTCCAGCAAAGTAAAATTGGAGAAGCTCTGTGACCAATTTGATCTACTGATACTCTTGTGTTTATGCAAATAACCAAGCCAGACTAGAACTAGATTTAATACAGTCTCTTTAACAGGAGGGTACTCTTAGGGAGAGAAAAAAATTGTCTCAATGAAAACCACAATACCCAATCATGGGTACTGAACTCCAGTGCAGTATGCCTCAGTACCAGATAAACACCAGAATGTTCTAACTGCAGACAATCTATCAGACTGTCACTGTATGATTTCATTCCAGAGGAAGCTTTATGTCTGGAAATCTTCTCAACTGGTTTATGATTTAATACATACATTAACCTTTATGTTTTGTGGTCTTCTGTTTTACAGAATAGATGCCTATGTCCCTGTTTACCTAAGGCTTACTCACACAATATAGGCCTCATTATAGAAGTCATCTGCATCACTGTCTCCTGAAATATGAGACTCATCGGTTTGGACTTACAATTGAGTCAGTGAAACTTGGATGATCTATTGGTCTTACTTAAAAACTGCTTTCCCCTTTTGGGTGCCCCCTTCTTTTGTCAGGCACAGAGAATCTCAGGACCCCAACCCCACCCCCACCAGCAGGAAGCAGTTACAGAAGAGACCTGATGCCCCTTTTCCTTGAAAGGATTCAGGGCCAAAATTCATAAGGGGAAAATATAATAGGCCAGGAATAGTACAGTTCAACAAGACACTTTCCAGTTAAAACTAATCTCACAGATATGAGATGTTAAAATCAACATGAAGGAATGAAAGGGGCGGGGGAGAATATAGAGAACTAATCACAGTGGCATACTAACCTTACTTATAAGAAATGTTAATCATCCTTTACAATGTTAAGAAAAGCCCAGAGGTATGAGCCTCAGAAGCTTACTTCTGGAATGCTGTCCATTCTCCTAAGCTCAGGACAAGGGGGACTACCTGACATCATGGAAAGATTAACCTGATTATTGGAACACTGGACCCATGTCTGTGACTCACTGGCGACCAGTCCTTGCAGCCCCCAGCCCACATTACTCCCCCTTGCCTGAAACCTTTTACAATTCCCCCCACCCCATCCCTCATTCCTTCCCCCTTGCCTATAACCATTTTACCTTTTTTTTTTCCTTTTTGCCTACCTGCCCTTTCTCACGTGGTCACTGTTTCTCTACCCTTTAAAAGCAGCTGTCAAGTGGGGGGTGGGGGAAGAGCAGATTTTACCAGATAACCCACTGCTCTTTCATACTGCCGGCAATATTGGAATAAACACTCATATATGATTCACCCTTGTCTCTGCTTAATTGGCTCAAGTAGTGACAGGTAGCCTGGACCCATTCACTGTATGGTTCCAATGACTGTCTCAAAATTTCTACTCCTCTGCAGAGTTCTTTGGTAAGTTCCATTACATGGTAGGGCCTGAGTACACTCATCTTGACCCCATAGGTCAAATCACCATTCGATAATGGCAGGCCACCTAGTTACCACATTACTTGCAGGCTGCAAGAAATGCTGTAATCAATCAAAGATTACTCTAATACCCTGCAAGAGTTATTATACATCCACCCTGTCTGATAAAAAACACACACTTAAACATCACAAAGATTTAAAGATTGAAATCAAGTTGTAGCTTCTGTCAAACTTATTGAACGGAGAATAAAACTGGTAGTTTAAGTTACTTAACAAAGAATAAAGCACTAGCCCTGGCCGATTTGGCTCAATGGTTGGAGCGCCAGCCTGCGGACCAGGGAGTCCCGGGTTCAATTCTGGCCAAGAGCACATACCTCGGTTTCGGTTTGTCCCCGGCCCCCAGTTGGGGTCGTGCAGGTAGAAACCAATCAATGTCTCTCTCTCACTCTCTTTCCCTCCCACTCTGTCTGAAGATAAATGTAAAAATATTCTCAGGTGATGATTTTAAAAAAAAGGAATAAAACATTAGTTTCTGTCCTTCATACCTATACTCCTAAATCATTCTTTTCACCAAATCTTTATCTTTAAGGAAATTCCATTGCTTTCACAATTTGACTGAAACCCAAACCTGACAATTAGAGGATTCCTCAACCTTATCTCCTCATTGTGCCACATTCTGTGTAAATCCCAACTTTCTGCATGAACTACTCAAGTTCCCCCATTCATAATTTCTCTTCCTCTTCTCATAGTAGTTCCTTATTCCCAACATTCTTTGTTATTGACCATGTCACTTATATGAGTGTCTACTCCCTGTAAGCCTGAGAGTCCATGGAATTAAATGTAAGATACCAAGGGTAACGCCTAGCACAAAGCTTTAGGTTTGTAGCCACCTGATAAGTGTTTACAAAAACCCCCTATGGTGAAAAATCCTCTCAATCAAAACTATGGGAGGACAATTATTGTGGCAAGTACAATATTGCGTCAAGGATGCATCCCAGACCTTCCAAGACAGGTGACTGTTTTTTCTCCCTATCCCATAACTCCATAAGCTCAGTTCAAATGCCACCTGGCCCCAACCACTTAGCTTAAGCATCAATCCTCCAGAGCCTGACTCCAACTTAAGATCAGTGTCTTGAATCTCTCTGAAGAAACACTGTAGTGTAATAAAAGGGCAATTATGTAGAAAAGCAGACTGGCTAAAACTGCAATCTCTCTATTACTACCTTTGTGACTTTGGGCAAATCAGTGAATGTTGTTGACCCTCAGCTCCTTCACTTGTGAAACAAGGGTATACTAATACCATTTACCTTACTGGGGTATTGTGAAGAATAATTACCGTAAAAGTGTATAGACAGTTATTGGATCGAATTCAGGGACTTAGTAGGTGTTCAATAAAGCTTACATCTCCCTTCCTCCAAAACGTTAACACTGTAATTTGCACTTAAGGGGCGCGGGACGGGAGCCGAGAGGGCTGCAGTGAGCGGTGTGCCCGGGGTACACCTGCCGGATGTGAGGGTCCCCCTGCCGACAACGGGCCTCACCTTGGTGGTCGTAGACACTAATGTAGGAGATGCCCACTGCCATACACCACACCACGAGGCTTGCGATGTCCGAGAAGCTGGTCTCCTGCTCTTCCTCGGTGATCACCAGGCTCATGTGCACAGGCAGCTTCTCCAGGGAACGGCCGTCCGCTTCCCAGCGCAGCCGGGGGTGGGTGGCGCCCGAGCCCGGCCCCCCTCGCGGGTGCCGGTGCTGACGGCGGTTCCTGCCTACAACCTGGGGCTTGCGGAGCGTGAAGCCAAGCGGCGCTAGGACCGCGGCAGAGGCAGCGCGGCGGCAGCGCCGCCAGATCCAGTTCCAGGTACCAAACCGAACGCGGAACCAGTAGAGAAGAGTGCGGTGCAGGCAGAGCAAAGCGTGCAGCACCCGCCAGACCAGCTCGTACAACCCCGTCATACTCTCGTGGCGCCAGGCTGTCCTATTTCCCTCCCACACCCACGGCGCGACGGCTTTTTATCTACCCCTGCGACCGGCGCGGGCCATCGCTCCGCGTTCCGCCGCCCCGGGCGCCCAAATCCCTTTCCACTGCCAACACCTCACCTCGCCCCCGCCGCCATCTTCCTCCAGCCTCCGCAGTCCCAGCCCCGCTATTACATAGATAGTTCTGATTGGTCGGCGTGGAACTCTGACGTGGCTTCTGGGTTCGAGGATGTGGCCTAGCCGGGTGCGGCGAAGGAGAGCGCGCTCCTCGGAACTAGATGGGCCGGCGGCCGAGTGCGCCCCCTGGTGGCATGGAGGTCTGGAAGTGGACGCCGCTGACGTTTCGGTGCAGGACCCAGAAAGGTGTACGTCATCATGGTAGGAAAGGGTGGTTGCAGGGATGCAGTGTCCCTTGGGTCTTATACTGTCTGTTTCCTCCCATGGTCCCGCCAGAAATGGTTTCCAAGCAGTAAAAGTCGTCCAAGTGGATTGGGAATTACAAATGCTAGAAGGAACCTAGGGATTGGAAATAGCCTCAGTAAGTGTTGGTGCTGGGATAAACCAGGGTCCCCTAAAGGAAGTATCTGTAGAAGTGGGAGTGTGCCTTAGAGAGGTCCTGCTATTCTTTGGTCAAACCTAGCTAGGCTAATTCTACCAAGAGTGGGAATGAGAATCCTTAGTAATGTTCCTGAAACATAATTCAGCCTATATCATTCCCCTCTAACAGAAATCCTTACTGGCTGTCCCTTCCTTAGTACATAGGAGAGAGGTCCAATCAATTTATTCTTTCATTCATTCATTCATTCATTCATTCATTCATCAAGCCATTCCTGCCTACCAGCATCACTGACCTCAGTGACCACTACTATTTGATATAAACTGCCCATCTAGTCTTATCATCCCCTTTACACAGCCTAATGTCCAGCCAATCTGAACTACAAAGTGGTCCTCCAGGCCAGTTGAGTATTTCCCTGCAGCAATTCTGTACCATTTTTGCCCTCTTTGTGCAATCTCTTTCCTTCACCTGAATTCCTGTTTCCCAAATAGGTATTGCCCAAATCCCAAGTCTCATTCTATCTGGCACTTCTTCAGTGGAACTTGCCTTGATTTCCTAGGCTGAAGTTCTCTCCCCCTTCTTATAAATCTCATGGTTCTATTTATAGCACTTCCCACTTTCATATATGTAACATTATATGTAACATTACATATGTCAGTATATGTAACATTAATAAATATTATGTATTGTATTATTATATGCTATGTATTGTATTATATATGTGTCCTATATACATATATATGTTATATATAGTGATACCTCGGTTCTCGAACATAATTCGTTCCAGGAGGACGGTCGAGAACCGAATTGTTCGAGAACCGAAGCAATGAAACCAATAGGAAAGCGTGACTCCACAAAGCGTGACTCTCTCTCTGCACTCACACTGATGACGCAAGCAAGGCGCGCTGGGCCGAATGAACGCCATTCGGCTCAACTCGGCTCATCTCGGAAGTTCGAGTTCCAAATATTTGTTCGGATTCCGAGACAAAAGTTTCTCGAATCTCCATTTGGTCGAAAACCGAGGCGTTCGAGAACCGAGGTATCACTGTAAATTAAATAAAACAATGCTGTTTTAGTAATACCTACTGGTCCTCAGGCCGATGCTCCAACCACTGAGCCAAAGTGGCCAGGGTTCCATAGGTTTTTTTAATGCCAAATATCTATATAGAAATCATTTAAATAAAAGTCTGACTGAGGAAAATGAGTAAAACTTAAGGATTCATGCTTGTACTGAAAAGGACAACTTCTCTCACACATCCACATGGCTTGCTCCCTCACCTTTTTCAGGACGACACTCGAAGTCACTGAGGCTCTCCTTAGTCTCCCTATTTTCATTGCACCCCCTCCTTCACCATTGACTTTCAACATTCTTATTACCTTCCCTGCTTTATTCTTGCATATTGCCCTTATGATTTAATATAGCACGTATTTTAGTCATTTGTAATATTTGTCGGACTGCCACTAAAATATGAGCTTTATGAGCATAGAGATTTGTATCTGTTTTGTTCACTGTTGCATCTCACTCTTGGAACAGTATCTAGCACTTAATAGATACCTAGTTGTCTGTCACCTGTTGAATGAATGAATGAATGAATGAGTGAATGAATGAGTGAATGAAAAAATGACTGGATCAATCAAAACCAAGAATGGGTAAACTAAAGTTCTCTAATTTCAAACAATGAAATAGTCCCTTATCCCTTCAAAATTAATTAAAACTGCATGCCGAATTTGTCAATAAGCTTTTTGAAGTCAAACAAAGAAAAGAAAAAACATGGGATGATTTGTTAGTTATTCACAAGAAAACTTCAATATAGCCATATTTGGTTGCATATTGTTTCTGTAGCAAAAGAGAAAATGATTTTTATAGTTACTGAAAAGTATTTTCCAGCAGCTGTGGATCTAGTACATAGGATCTGTGTCATAAATCATCTTATAATTTAAAAGCTAAACCTGTTCAGTCGCAGAGCAATCAGAGGCAATGTTGACTACTCAGCTACCACCTTTTATGAATAGTGCAACCAACAGGATGGGACCGACTTTGCAAGTTGTGTGGCACTTGGGGAAGACATTTTTATATAAATTTGGTTGTGCTGTCTAAATTTACTCCCAGACATAAATACATTAGATATATGTGTTTAGTTTTAAAAAACAGCAGCTTAAACCCAACTAGTGTGGCTCAGTGGATTAACCTCGGTCCCAGTTCAATTCCGGGTTCGATTCCCAGTCAGGGCACATGCCCGGGTTGTAGGCTTGATCCCTAGTAGGGGGTGTGCAGGAGGCAGCCGATCATTGTTTCTCTCTCACATCGATATTTATCTCTCCCTTCCTCTCTCTCTCTAAGAAATCAATAAAAACCTTTTTTAAAGAAAAGGAATGCAGCTTAAGTATACATTAAACTGGAAAAATTGTTAAGAATTACAAGTGATGGGGAAGCAAATGTAACTGGGAACTTCGGTGAAGTTTTGTTCGCTTGTTTTAACTTTTATTTGGACAATTTTAAACATGTTAGGGTGGGATGAGCTCTCATCACCCAACTTTAATCGTTACTGATTTATGGCATATATTGATTAATAAATATTTATAAAGTCTGTGAGAAAAAACTTTTTAAAATTTATAAATTCTAAGCAATTCTGAGTAGAAACTAAGAATACCCTGAATGAAAATACCAGCATTGATAAAAGCAGTATGTTCACATGTGACCGTGTGTGTGTACCAGAAAGGAATCCCAGTGCCTTCATTTCAGATGGTTTTGTTATTCCTCTGGGTTCCAAACTGAGATGAAGTTCTCACCCCCTTTTTCAAGACTGAGTGGGAGGCTAGTATTTTATCTAAGAACAATCAGTCCCTTACAGGGTGCAATTCAAAGGCCTCCTACAGGATGTGTGTGACCAAGGGAACAGCCAATAGCCGGGCTATGACTAGGCAGGCAGTGGCTTAGCTCTGACACTTGACAGGTGTAAGCAGGTATGATTTGAATTGTTAGGGGGTGAGGGAAGAGAGGGCCTTCACTATGGACACACGCTGTCTAGGCAATACCCCAGGGGTCACCACTTACATATGCCACCATTGTGATTGGCACCTTGGTGTTGAAAATGTCTCCAGTTGGAGAGAGGGGCAGATTTGCAAGTTCTAGTTCTGCCACTTGCTGTGTCTCTGAATCCGACAGTCACATTATTCCTGTGAGCCTGAACCTCCCTCAGCTGTCAAAGAGTAGATTCTTTCTCAAAGTCCCCAAAGCTTGGGGCTTCTGATTATTAATATCCAGGCAATGTCAGTGGGTCTGAATTATTACACATCAAGCATCATTAGTCTTTGTTATAGAAAACTGTAGGTCTAATACATTAAAAGAATTGAAGCCTCACACAAAAACAAGGAAAACCATGTCAGAGTTCCCTTACTTCTGTACTTCTGTTTCATGGACTTGGGATGCCTGGCCATGTGCCGGGGAGTACTAGCAACCACAGTAGAAACAGGGCTCTTCTCCAAGGAGTGTCAATTCTACACTGATTTGGGGAGAAGAAAATATGGACATAAAGCAAGTAATGCAAAATTTGCATAGAAGTTTAAGTTAAAACATGACACTCTGGAAAAAGTTTTGGCTTCTGTTGGGAATCTTTGTTCATTCACTCAACCTCTGCTGTTTACTTTCTCTGCCACTGGGGGGTATTTTAATGGAAAACTTTATAAAATATTGCAACAGTTAAATCTTACCAATTAAAACAGAAACTAATTTGTATGGGGTTTCAGATGGTATTCACATGTAGTCTAATAGAAAAAAATTCTACACTCAGACCTCTATCCACAGACAAGCAACTCTTAACAGCATACATTTTTTAAAAATATGATTTTATTGATTTTTTAGAGAGAGAGAGAAACATCAATGTGAGAGAGAAACATGGATCAGCTGCCTCCTGCACACCCCCTACTGGAGTTCAAGCTTGAGACCCAACCGGGAATCGAACTGGTACCTCTCAGTCCATGGGACGACGCTCAATCCACTGAGCCACATTGGCTAGGCTCAGTAGCATACATTTAATTAAAAGGAAGGCAGTGTGGGGATTGTGACTCCGGGAAAACCTAATACATCTCAAAGCACAGTTATTTTCAGGAAGACCTTTGTAGGGACATCTGTAGTATTTAAGGTGCCAATTTACATTTTTCCTGTCTGGTTTTCCTTTGGTCAAGACCTACTGTCCCTTAGCCAAGGGCAAACATGTGACTCAAGAAAGGACATTTAGCCTCTTCCTCCGAGGATATGAATGTTGAGAAGAGGGAGCTAACACTCACAGTAGCAGGAGCACTTCATTCAGCAGAGAGAACCATGAAGAAGCTGAGGGCTGCTTCCTTATGTTTTCTGCCTGGGGCCCTGGAGCAGTTCTAATCCCTGTCTATTCCAGGTTCTTCAGATTTCGCTTTGATTCTGTGACCTAATCCCTAGCTTTCCAATAAATTCTCTTGCTTTAGTCAGTCACAGTCAGTTGCTGCTTTTTTTAATCCTCACCTGAGATACGTTTGTTTGTTTGTTTGTTTGTTTGTTTGTTTGTTTGTTTTTAGAGAGAGAAAGGACAAGTGAAGAGAGAGAGAGAGAGAGAGAAAACATCTATGTGAGAGAGAAACACCGATCGGTTGCCTCCTATACAAACCCTGACTGGAGATCAAACCCACAACCTCGGTATGTGCCCTGACCAGGAATCAAGCCTGCAACCTTTTGGTGTACAGGATGATGCTCCAAGCAACTGAGCCACCCACCCAGGGCAGTTATAGTTGGTTTTTATTGCTTGCAACCAAAAGCCTGTAATGTAGGTCTATATACCTGTTACGTATACCAGCTTCATATGCAAAATCACTCTTAATATGATAAAATGAACTACTGTATTTGCAGGAAGTTAGCCAGATGGGGATTTTATTTGGCATTGTTATTTGTCTAGGTTTCAGTATAAAACACAAAGCAATTACTTTTAACATAGAAGGAATCCTTTATCTTCTTACCATTGTTCCTTTCTACTTTCCTCCCCCCAACCTCAACTTTTATCTGAACCCTCATTTCATTCTTAAAAAAAAAAAAGAAAAACTTACAAAAAGGAGTCTTTTATATATCTAGATGTATAGTATATTTCTGCTTACAAGATTGAACGTTAAAAACTGTTTCTGGAACACAGAGAATTTTTAGGACAGCAAAACTACTCTGTATGAGCCTACAGTGCTGGATACGTGTCATTATGCATTTGTCAAAACCCAGAGTGTACAACACCAAGAGTGAGCCCTGATGGAAACTGGACTTGAGGCGATGATGACGTGTCTGTGCAGGTTCATCAAGGGTAATAAATGTGCCGCTCTAGCGGGAGATGTTGTAACAGGCAGGCTGTGCATGTGTGGGAGATCTCTGTACCTTCCTCTCAATTTTGCTGTGAATCTAAAACTGCTCTAAAAATTAAGTCTATTAAAAAAAAAAAAAAAAAAAAAAAAAAAAACTTTTCCAAAACTGTAAACTAAGCTCACACTTAATCGATTTCGTAATCGTAATAATCATCATCCATGTTGATTCTGATGCTGGAGTGCTCTTCAGGTTTTGATTTCTTTTTGGTCTCTTTGCTCTTCTCGGACAGACGTAAGTGTTGCTCACATTGCCTCATGATCTTCTTGGAAGACATCCAGCTCTCCCCTTGTCTTTCGGCTGGTGCTGCACATTGTCCTCCCCTCACATCCGTTCCCTTGGCCTTCAGGACCTCCCTGGCTCTTAGGAGACTGCAGGTGCAATTCCATGGATTTCCATCCAGATACAGGTGCCTGAGGCGAGGCAGCCCCTCCAAGGCTTTGAGGTCCAAGGCAGAGATCTTGTTGTTCCTGAGGTTTAGAACCTGAAGCTGCTTTAGATCCTTGAGCTCCCTCTCAGCAATATCCCGGATGACATTGCCCTTTAGGTCCAGCCTGGCCAACGTCCCCGGGAGCCTGTAAAAGCAGGGAACCAGGATGTGAGAGAAGTCATGACCACGATTCCTCAACTGCAAAGAAACTCAAATTGAGCAACACCTGCCTTTTCTATGGTTTTGTCCCTTCTAAAGCTAGAAAACAAAGTTGATTTTTAAAAAGTAATTTGAAGTGCAAACTGTAGTCTTTTCTATACGTTTTTAAACCTTCCTAAGTCTTATTTTCTAAACCTCTAGTTTTTTTCTGGTTCCTAGTCATAAAACTCTTTAATATTTTTCTTGTCAAGTGGAATCACATAAATAAATTTATAAGAAATATACTAAGTTCCCAGTATTTTAGTTAAAAGGGACCATGAATCAATAATTTATAGAAGTAAAACAATATCCCTCCCTTCACAGGATGGCTGTAAGAAACAACAAATGTACATGAATTCATTGCTGATCTTAGAATAAATGTTAGGTATTGTTTTTCAGTGCATTTATATTGAGGCAAATGTGGTAGATATTTTAATATATGTGCACCTAAAACCATGTGCCATTACTCTCAATGAAATGTAGAATGGAAGATAGTAGGCCAAAGAAGGAATTTGAGGAAATCGTTTGTGATAGAAGTAGGTTGCATGTGTTTACAGTTTATTTATAAAAAACTAAAAATTTAAAGTGTAACTTTGAGTATGAATAAGAAGCATGCAAATAAAAAAAAGGGTGTATTGTTTAAAGATTATAGATGAAAGTTTTGCAATTTAAATACAAAGAATAGATATTATTGTTTTTAATTCCTTGTGCCCAGAGTACCACAGAGAAAGTTTCCTGAGTCATTTCCACGTTTCAATTCAAAGAAAAGGCAGGGGGTGGGGGTGGGGTAGTGAGGGGGAATTTAAAATCACTCTCTACAAGAACTTTGCTCTCACAGCTGGCCAAGTTCTTTCACCGAGCCGACAGTTATATTGCTTAATTTAAGCCTCTTAGGAAACACCCATTCATATTTCATGTTACTTGCCTCGCTGTTCTTGCCCACTGGTTCTCAACCCCAGCTGCACATTAAACTCATCTGGGAAACTGCTTAAAAATACTGATGTCTGGGTCCCAACCCTGGGTGTCTGATTTAATTGGTTTGAAGTGATGTCTGGACATCGATATATATGTTTAAATATGGATGGATTTCAGTTGGAAAAATAACTGTTTTATAGAAAATAATAGTGCTGCATTTTTCTATTTTTTAAAAAAATTTATGTACTTTAAAATGTAGAACATGGGATAAAGCTGAAATAAATAAGATAAATTAATGTAAACATGTACATTAGTTATAGATTATGACTGGTTTGGGGAAAAGGTACAGAGGGTTGGGTATAGAGGGTGGGATATTGGAAAGAGAAATTAAGTGTCCAAGTATGAGGCTGTGTGTTGTATGTGTATATGAGAGAGAGAGAGAGAGAGAGAGAGAGAGAGAGAGAGAGAGAGAGAGAGAAATTGAAGAGACAACTAAACCCAGAAGGTAAGACCAATACAAATGGACTCACACTCATAGACAAACATACAGGCAAGATAAATTAAGTTACTGTGCATAGTCAATTTGAGGGCTAGAGATTCCAAACACTTGTTTAAAACTTCTGCCCTTAAACCCTTGGATAGCCTTGATCAGATCAATTATGTTTGCTCTAACTAGTGTTCTTGCTTGTATACTGTGCTAATTGACCCAGTCTTTGGAGAGCTTTTATAATAGTAATCATAAATGGTAATGCTCACTTACCTGAGAGGTATAGACAACAGCAGGTTCTGCTCCAGCGCCAGATTGGAGAGCTGGGAACACCTCTGCAGGGCTCCAGCTTCGAACAAGCTGACAATGTTGTTGTCCAGAAACAAATGTTTCAAGTCTCGCAGGTCCTGGAAGTCTTGCACTGTAACTCTCTGAATCAGATTATTGCTAATATCAAGCTTTTGTAGCCTTGCTGGTAGTCTGAGGGGCAACATTTGAAGCTGGTTTTGGGACAACTCAAGGGTAGTTAAATTGGCAAGAAGCTGTGCCCCTTCAATGGAAGAAAGTGAATTTTCTGAAAGGTAAAGATGGGATAGGTTCTCCAAGTGTTTCATATCTCGAAACCTTACCACCTTGAGCTGGTTTCTCTCCATCTTTAAAGAGAGCAAGGATTTGGGCAGATTAATGGGAATTTTAGTCAGAAAGTTACCACTGAAACTGAGAAACTGCAAAGACTGAAGAGAAGTAAAGAAGCCAGCTGGTAGAAGATGTAGTTTATTATTCTCCATACTCATATGTTTCAGATGGGGAAGTGCCAGTGGTCCAGCTACAGACTCGATATTATTGCCATCCAGCATCAAGCTTTGCAAACTGGCAAGGGAGGAGAGCATGCTGGGAGAGAGGGAAGAGATCAGGTTGTTTTTAAGTTCAAGGGTTTTTAATTTCTTCAGTCCTTCAAAATCAGATCCGTGTAGGACATATATTGAATTATCATTTAGTTTTAACACTTCAAGACTGGCTGGGAGAGCACGGGGAACTTGTCTGAGCTTATTTTTCCAGAATTCCAAGGTCTTCAAGGTACTCAGAGTTTTGAAAGTATCATTTTCTACTGATTCTGTTCCACTGGCCAAAAGAATAAAATCTTCTAGCGCCACCATTCGGGTGAAGTTGGATAGCTACAAAACAAAAACAAAAACCCACAAACAAACAAAAAGGCAAGGGCAGGGATGGGGGACAAAAACAATAAACTACAATTATTGTGGGCGGGAAAAAAACATATATACCATCATTCAATACTAATGATATTTCAAATTTCTCTTCAGGATTTATTTTAAATTATCTCCTAGAAAAGGATGGGAACTTGGGTCCTGACTATTTTTATTTATGATTGTTAACACTGGAAGATATCAAAAATACTTTTTGCACTTTCACACACTGTACTTAGACATACAATATTGGCCAAATTTTGCTCTATGTTCTCTGACCCAGCAAGTTTACTTTGAGGCAGAAAGTACTTACGTATTGCACAATGATTTATGGGAGATGAAGCTTTCTGTTGCATCATCTTATAATAGTCAAAAATAAAAACAAATTTTTTACTGAGCAGTTGCTGACTCTAGGGTGTAAAATTACAAGGGTTTTGTTGTTTTTTGTTTTTACTATCTATCTACATTTTGTATTGTTTGGAGTTTTTAAATTAGAATTACCTTTAATTTTTTTAAGCATTAAAAGTAAAAATTTAAATGTTCTAAATACAGCCATCATGAGGATGGGCCTATCAGGGAAATGCTTTCAACTATATTGTATTTTGAAAACTAACCTCCTGCTCTCTAACCTCCAATTTGCACTTCACTGATGAACAAGATCTGTGAATAAACAAGCAGGATGTATGTGTCCCCATCTCTATGGAGCAGGAAGTCCTTTCATGCATATATCCCAGACCTATGCTACTCCTCTCCAGATTTTAGGAAGTGCCAAATCTGATATACTTTGTCCATGATTTGCAAGTTCAAGTACTACTATCTCTCTACATATCTACCAACTTCTTAGCTTGACATCTACCTCCTTTGTGGGATGATGGATTCCTTGGTATTTGGTTCTCTGAGTAAGATTATGTTTAGGTAGAAAGTGGAATTGTTCTAGGTTTTCTTCAACTTGATTAATTTCACAAACTGCTCAACCTGCTTGAGAGTTCAATTAAGATGGAACTTTCGATGGAATTTTTTTGTCTTACTACCTACAGTTTCTAAATGTTTGATTACATTATGCAGTTGAGTCCTTTTATAATACCAATACACAATTAACATCTTCAAAGTGGGTTAATTTTGCATCCTATATTTATTATAGGTGCTTAAATTCTGGGAGGATATGAAATGTGAATTATGGTAAACCATATGTTCAAGCATCTCTTAATATAATATTCTATTAGAAGAATCTCATGTTGAAATTTCCATGAACAGATATTATTTATTTCAATAGTTTTGGCAGTTGCCTTTGGTTATATATTGCTGCTAACATTTAATATTTTCTTACTGATTAATTAGTTTCATTTATTAGTCCTAACCCAAATAGTAATAGCAAATTTTTTTCTTACATTTGTTGAATTTGTTACACTTCATAAGTATGAAGTGCTTTTTAATGTTATTATTAATTCTGCAAGTTTGCTATGATCAATACTGGCTTTTAGATGAGGAAACTAGAAAGTAAGTGAAAGAGTTGAGAATTTCAGCAAAGGTCTTTCTTCCTCAGCTCAATGTTTCCTATTGCATTTGGTCTATAAATAATGTTTTCAGGAAAGACTCAAGATCTGGACACAAACCATAGAGTTTAAAACCATAGAGTTTTAAAGAAGCAGAGATCTTAAAGATTATCTAGTCAAAATCTCTCATTTAAGAGATGAAGAATTTCAGGCCAAAAAATACAAATTAAATGACCTGCCTGAAACTCGGTGTTTTAAAACCTACTCTTCACTCTGAAGGGTCCTTTCCTAGGCTTTTCTTTCATGTAAGGTCGGAAATGATTCTAGACACAAATCTTCACTTCTTGGACTGTTGATTTCCCTTAAGGAAAACTTGGTGTTACTCATATTTCCATTTCTATTTGAGTGACCACAAACCCTGAAAGGTTGCTGACAATGCAGCAAGTTCGTGATAACACAGATCTGAATGGGGAATTTATTTGGGGAGTAGACAAAGTGTGGCGTCAGAGCTTCAATGTGTCAATGTATCTTGATTTCTCTTGGTAAGAATACAGACTTGTCTAACTAGTAAATATAGTCCATATTTTGAACCGAATCCAATGGATAGTTATTGTTGTTGTTTTTTATTAAGCATAGAGAACCTTTTCTTTTTCTTCTTGTCAGAGTCCATGCAGATTACTTTTGATTATTAATTATTCCCTTTTCACAGAGGGAAACTAAGGCTCAAGAAGGTGAAATAACCTGACCAAGTATGTCTCACTAGCAAATGGAAAAGTTGGGCTTTCAAATCAGATTTATCTTCCACCAACAAATATATTTTTAAACTTTCTGCTATAACATGCATTTAGCTAAAAATTATAGAGTTCTGGTGGCACAAACAGTGAAGAAGACACCCACTGATTTTCAACTTTTCAGCTGAGTTTGCAGAGTTGACAAAAGGAAACAAGTAACTGTCAGACCAGTTTTTCCATCTCCCTGGCCTAAGCAGGGCTGTGATCAAGAAATACAGAAAGAGGTGCTTTTGCCCTAGAGCTAACCTTGGGGTTTCTGGTAGTTTTTTCAGTGTTGCTTAGAAAGCAAGGAAGTATGTCTTGGTGTTAACCATTAAGCACAGGAATCTTAGTTAAATATAATTCCTGCCAGCATAGTTTTACAGTTTAGTAAGCCCAATAGATATGTAGATAAAAGTTACAATAAAATATGAAAATGTTTTTAAAAAAATAAGCAAGGCAAGTGAAATGAAGTAGAGCAGAAGAGCACCTCCTGCTGGCTTCCCCATGGGAGTCTTTGTTTCTGGTTTCAATTCTGGGCTGGCCCTGCTCCAAGCATCAGAGGGCCACACACCTTTCTTGGGTTTCTTCCAGGTCTAATATACACACAAAGCTGACATACCATCAGTCACTTCCTCAGACTTGTGCGAACCAAGCTAGCAAGTTTTTAAAACAATGCTGGATTTTTTTTTTTTTTTCTGATCATCAAAACTATACTTGTTCTCTGTAAACAATTTTAAAATTCTAGAAAGTATAGTGAGATTATAAAAATTTTCCATAATTCCCCCACTCAGTGATAAACCTGTTTATATGTTTCTTACCCAGGAGGAATTTAAGTAACTATTTTCGCTAAAGATGTAAAGTGCACTCATTTTAATTGACTGTCATCATAAAGGCATTCCTATTTGTCCTTTAAATGTAAAAGCTAAACATATAAAATTCAAAAGAAAATATAGGCGTAAATTTTCATGACCTTGGATTTGGTAATATGACCAAGGAAAAAAATAGACAAATTGGATTTAATCACAATGGGAAACTTTGTGCTTCAAAGGACCATCAAGAAAATGAAAAGACAATCCACAGAATGGGAGAAAAAATTTTAAAATAATCTATCTGATATTTAGCACATATAAAGAACTCTTACAACTCAATAATAAAAAGACAAATAACTCAATTGAAAATGAACAAAGGATTCATATGGGTACTTCTTCAAAAAAGACTTGCAAGTGGCCAATAAGCACAAGAAAAGATGCTTAATATCATTAGTCATTAGTCATAAAAGGACAAACCATAATGAGATATAACCTGACACTCACTAGGATGGCTATGATCTTAAAAAAAAAAATGTTAGAAGGATGTAAGAAATGTTAGAAGGATGTGGAGAAACTGAAACTTTTATATTGGTGTGGGAATGCAAAATGATGCATTTCCTCAAAATGTTAAACATAGAATTGCCATATGACCCAGAAATTCCACTCCTAGGTATAAACCCAAGAGACATGAAAACACATGTCCACACAGAAACATGTACATGAATGTTCATAGCAGCATTATACATAAAAGCTGGAAAGAGGAAAAACCCAAATGTCAGTCAACTGATGAATGGATAAATAAAAGGTGGTGTATACAATGTGTGGTATATACAATGAAATATAATTTGGCCTTTAAAAGGAAGGAAGTTCTGACATATGCTACAACATGGATAAACCTTGAGAACATTATTTTAAGTAGAGGTCTCAGAGGCATCTGGATAAGTCTGAAACGTGGGAAAAAGTTATGATAGAAATTCGGTATGGGCCCTGGCCTGTTTGGCTAAGTGGTTAAAGCGTTGGCCTGCAGACCAAAGAGTCACGGGTTCGATTCTGGTCAAGGAGATGAACCTCGGTTGCAGTTCATCCCTGGCTCTGGTTGGGTATGCAGGATGCAACCAGTCCGCAACCAGTCCATGTGTGTCTCTCGTACCGATGTTTCTCTCTCTCCCTCCCTCCCACTTTGTCTGATTATAAGTGGAAAATTATCCTCAGGTGAGGATTTAAAAAAAAAATAAAGAAATTCGGTCATGGAAGCCATGATCACATACATAAAGTGAAGTCAGCTAAGGAGAAGGTACATAGAGGCTGAAGACTGAGACTCCCTGGAAAAGCCAAAAACTAAGGGGCAGGTGGAAGGGGGGTGGTCTATAAAATGGCAGAAAGGAAATATCAGGTAGAAATAATGAAGATTTAGAAGTATGGAGTTGTGTAAGGCAAGAATGTGAGAATTTCAAGAAATAGGAGTGAGCCAATCAATGCCTGAGAGAGAAGAGTTTTGGCTGTGTGGAATAGGAAACCAGACAGCAGTGAATTAAAGAATAAACAGAAGATGAAGAAGTGGAGACAGTAAGTGCAGTCCACCCTTTCACAGAGTTTTGTAAATAAAGATAGTAGAAGAGGAGACATAAAATTAAAAGATTTTTATTTTTGTTGTAATGATAGGAGCATATTCATAGACTAAGACAGGGAGCTAGTAAAGAAGTAGAACTGAAGATACGAGAGTAGAGAATGATGGAGCAAGCGTTGGGGAGAGGAGAGAAGGATGGACTCAAAGGAATGAAGGGAGGTCACCTTGAAGAAAAGGAGGAACAGCTCTCTGGAGGAGAGAGCTTGCAGAATTGGATGGAGACAAGTGAGTACACAGTCAGCAGGAATTCAGGGAGATCAAGACAAATGGCCTTCATTGTACCATGATTTGTCTATAAAATGGGAGGCCAGCCATTTGGTGAGAATGAGGAGGGCAGGGCTTGAAAAGGAGATTCAAAACTGCACCGAACTTTTGGACGATGTTGCAGGAATATAGGGAGACCCTGACAGAGAGCTGAAAGGATAGATGGGTGACACTGAAGACCAAGATGAAGTTGGAGACCTTGAATTTGTGGTGGTTCTACAAATGTGTGATGGTTCCTAACATTATATAAATGTGAACAGATATGTGTGGAGAGGTTGGGTGACCCTCTCCAGCAGCATCCATGTTCAGGTACAGGAGAAACAAAGAAAGATGATCACCCTAATGTAAGATCAGTACTTGCTGGATAAGTATTGAGATAATTCACTGTGGGTGCAAAAGGGGAAGGGATAGAAAAAGAAGATAGATAAGAAATAAACTGACTATCTGGCAGAACATGGGCACATCTAGGGTCAGAAGTCTCCATGAGGTAGAAAGATAAGTGCAGAGTATGACAGCTGAAAGGAAAGATGGGCAGAGAGAATGGGTATGGGAATTCAAGATTATTGGGTGGAGAAGTTACGTGGATAAAGAGGATTATGATATAACTAAGTCAGTAGATGGCTATGGTCAAGTGGAATGTAGATAGATACTTTTTTTATGAGTCCAAGGAAGTATGAGACTAGGATATTGGACACTGAAGCCCCAAGAAATGCAGAATTTAGGATGGAGATCAAGACTAGAGCAAGGAAGGAGGAGACCAAAGGCACAGTGTAAGAAAGACAAAATAAGTGTTATTTATATATATATATATATATATATATATGTACGCATGCATATAAATGTGTGATGTGTGTGCTTATATCTATATAAATATATATAATTTCTATTGCAATTAATCTGAAGATCCATTTTAAGGTTTTTTTTTTTTTCCTTTTAATATAGGCATCCTGTTCTGTAATCCAAACCAAATAAACTGAATATACATTGTGTTCACTAAAGACAGGTGAACTATGGTCATTTTAAACCTAGTGTTTTTAAAAGAATAAAGATAAATGCTATTACTCAGAGCTTTTTATGTCCTTCACAAAACAATTCTGTATGTCATCAAGCTTTCTGCTGGGAACGGCCCTTCCAAGAGACAGTTAACTGGTCTGAAGTCAAGGGAGTGGCAATATTGTGGTTTAGTGCACCTAAACCAATGGCAAATGGATTGATTCAATCATTGAATTTGATGAAAGGTATCATTTCATTTTGTTGGCTGCAAAGCAGCAGTGTAGGACCATTACCAGGCTTAGTTGACCCTCTAGCTCTCAGCATCTCAAGTCCTCAGAACAAATATTTAAACATCTTGCCCTTTAGCCAGGTGTCTTGCTTGAATGCACACTTGCTCTCTAGCTCTAGGCACTGCTGGGATAGAAGAGGAAAGTAAACAGATGACAACTAGGCAATTAATTGTGCTTATTAAGGCTCGAAATGAATACCATGCACATATTTAAAACCCTCTGTGATTATGTACACCTACGTTAAAATCTTTCTTTCTAAAGAAAGAAGGGTGTTCTATTTGAAAAGAAAGTACATTCACCTGCTGACTCTGCACATGGATCACAGAGAGGCATTTCCTTACCTTAAGATTTGGATTGATGAGGGAGAAGCAATAAAGGCAAAATCTGAGGACCATAGAATTTTCCATCTAGAACGGGCCTGGAATCACCTTTAATCTAGCATGCTCACTTTGTAAAGGTAAAAAGTGAGGCCTAGAGGTTTGTTTAACTGCTTGCCTAAGTTGATTGTCTCTCTAGGTAATTAGTTAATGAGGGAGAGAATCCTAGTCTCTCTCTCTCTCTCTCTCTTGTTTTTTTCTTTATTGATTTTAGAGAGAGGAAGGGAGAGGGAGAGAGAGATAGAAACATCAGCGAGAGAGAACATCAGTTGGCTGCCTCCTGCAAGCCCCCCACTGGGGATCAGGCCCACAACCTGGGCATGTGCCCCAACTGGGAATCAAACTGGCCACCTCTTGTTGCATGGGTCGATGCTCAACCACTGAGCCACTCCGGCTGGGCAGAATTCTAGTTTCTTGATCCCTTTCGAACACTAAAGGCTGAAAACAAAAGTTCCTTTATGTTATAAAAGTCAGACAAACCTGTAGTACTCTTTTTGGTGCCCTCTGAATAGGTAAGCATAAAAGTAAAAGTCATAATTAAAAGCACATAGAATGAGAATTGCAGCAACATCACAAAACAAAAACATGTATTTCCTCTGTATAGGTTTTCACAAAGATGCTAATGTTTGTTTGGCTGTAAGATCTGTATGAATCATTCTCATATGCTGTGTACATCATGATAGTCTTATAATGCTCTTAGTATTATCTGCCTTCTATGGCATAAACAAACCACATTTCCGCCCAAAAGGACTTATTTTTAATCCTGGGAACATAAAGTGGCCATATGCTCTCAAACTCTTTTTGTTAATAAAGAGCTATTTCTTTACCTTTACTTTGCAACAACATAATTAGAAAACATTTTTAATAAAAAATGAAATAAATTATCATTAATTATAGATTCTTGGTCTTTTTGGCTGCGTCTCTAAAAAGAAATATCCAGAGGCATATACCCATCGCAGTAGTACAAAGCAAACTGATAACTAGTGCTACTACCCAACCTTGATATGTTCTGCTTATTTTTTTGAGTTTTAAGTTTTGAGTTTTAACTTTTCACTTCTGATTATTTAAGTTAATAATCCCACACTTGCCCCTCACCCTGACAACAAAATAAAACTGCAGCAAGTTGAGTGGGGAACGAGTAGTTACCTGAAGGTGTTGAATTTTGCTGTGGCTGATGTAGAGCTTCTTGGTGGTGGAAGGAATGCCTGCTGGTACCTCTGTTAGCCTGTAGCATTGCACCGACTGCACAGAGTCGCAGCTACACCTTCCAGGACAGTCAGGAGTGAAACCATGGCTAAGAGAGAGCAAAACAAGGAATGCATAAAGCAGATGCATCTTCCCAAATAGGGCCTCCCAGGCAGCAGGCGAGTGCTTAGGTGATGTCTCACTCTTTATACCATGAAATCTGATAATAGAATCTTATGAATGTGTACTCTGTCAATGTAAGAAGACAGGAAAGAAAAATTCTCATTTTGCCTGGGTTAAAATGTTAGCAACCATTACAAAGAGGAAGGGGCTTAAACATTGATAAGCTGCCTTAATATTTGTAGGTGAGCAAAACCCTGTGTTATTTATGGCTTGGAAGTCCAATCTGCAAACACCTCTATTATCTGCAGTTTCCTTGTTTTGTTAAATGTGACATGAAGGAATTAGTGGGAAAAGACAAAGAGCATTTTTATAGGGGGCTATAAAACCTTTGAGTTTTCTGTGACCCTATATTAAAACCATTTTTGCAGGACTGCAACAGGCAGGTGTTTGTATCTCACATTAACTAGTATGGGAAAATAGGCAGGTTTTCCATTTACTATTGTTGTTTCAGTAACATTTTATTACTAGGTGAAATAATGGGGTACAATGGAGCAATCGTTAGAGCTACAGATAGCATGTTCAATTCATTCATCACTTGATCAACTTGGAAAATATTTTTGTTAACCAAAAATATTATTGACAAATGAGAATAAAACATCAAAATGAGTTTATTATCTTTATTTATTCATAATAACGGAAGAAAAATGCCTCTCGTTTTTTCAGAGGAACTTGTTGGTTGTGAAACCTGACTGGAGAGGGAAAACTTCACTTGTCCTGGGCACTCCTTTGATGTGGCTTTTTGTCTTGCCATGGTCATCCCTATTACAGGATTTAAAAGCACTTGAAGTAAAAGATAATATCCAGAAGCTCTGTTCCCCCAAGTGGAAGACCTAAAATTCCCCATGCTGGTTGACTGCAGCAGCTTGCTCTGAAGAAATCCTTTCTAATATTAAAAAGCTGCTCTGGCCCTGGCCGGTTTGGCTCGGCGGTTGGAGTGTCGGCCGGCCTGCGGACCAGAGTCCCAGGTTTGGTTCCCACTAGGGGCATGTACCAAACAAAAAGCTTCTCTGGCTTCCTGTTAGCCTGATCTCTGCTACAGTTTTCATTTTGAAGCCAAAAGTTGCTTTGATCTAATGATCAGTTTATTCTATTTCCAGAGTAAGGATTTCTGTGTGCTTTTCCCAACAGACTTTCTACTTTTTTCCCCCTGATTGTTTTTCCCCTATTTTCTTTTTTTTCACTATCAGAGAGAAGGAGTGATAAGAGATTTCTTTTCTGTCAATAGTCTGATTTTCAACAAACATTATTTATTTTTCTTGTCTCATACTAGAACTATCTTTTCAATTTTTAGAATTTTCAAATAGTAAAGTAATGTTCAATGAGAAGGAATTTGGAAAAAAGACAAAGGAGGGAAAAAATCCAAATCAAACATTTTTCCAGTCTCTTTTCTCTGTTGTTTCTCTGCTTTGAAACAACAAAAAGAAATATTATTGACCATTTTTATTCCTGTGTTGCTAAAAAAGTTAATTCATGTTTAGTTATTTAAAACAAAATGCCTGAAAAATCTTTTTTTTTTTTTTTATCCTCACCCGAGGACATTTTTCCATTTTTTGTTCGGATAGAGCAGGAGGGAGAGAGAGGAAGAGAGAGAGAGAGAGAGAGAAACATCGATGTGAAGGGACACATCGAGTGGCTGCCACCCGCACGACCAACCAGGGCCGGGGACAAACTGCAACTGAGGTACATGCCCTTAGCAGGAACCGAACCCGGGTCTCTCTGTACAGCAGGCTGACGCTCTAACCGCTGAGCCAAACCAGCCAGGGCTGCCTGAAAAATCTTAACCTCTCATCTGCCATCGATGACAACTAAGTATTTTGTTACGCACAGTAGCAGTGAGTTCCATTTTCAATCCTCTGATCATGGCCACAGGATTCTCTCTTCTATGTTTTTTTTTTATTCTTTTTTCCCTTCTTTTTCATGATATTTATGTAGCTATCCTGCAATTTTGGTATTATCTGTAATATACCACTATTTTACATTGTGAATAGTTTTATTTTATCAGGTTGTAAACAGACGCAAACTTTATATTCTGCAATTTTCACTATTATAATATTTTTCCATATTATTTCATAGTCTCCATAAATATAACTTTAAGTGTTTAATAGTCCATCAAGACTATTGTCTAAATTTGATTAACTACTTTCTAAATGTTGGATTTTTAGGTTGTTTCCTGGTTTTATCATTATAAGTATAAATAACTTTGATCATAAACGTTTGACAATGTTTTGAAGGGCAAAAGACCCACCAGTTCCTCGGACCACACCTGTTTATTTAGGGTTAAGCTGAGAGTCAACTTTTCTTTTCAGGTAGATGGCAAAGTCTTGTTGATACTATAAACTGCAGAGAAAGTATGACACAAAGGTAGACAAGAATGTTTGAAGGACATGCATGTTTTGTTGTATCTGCTCTGGAGTTATGTGGTGCTAGGAAGCAGCCACAAAAGCTGCCACCATTGCTCAGCTTCGAGTTGACTTTCTGCTGACTCTTGGAGTTTTCACATGTTTAATTCATTAAAGGGTCGTGAGTATAAAGTTCCCTACCTTTAACTTGGGTTTTAGTTATGGAGTTTATGAGTCCCTAAGGCTGACTGTGAAGCATACTATTCTTTTCTCAAAAAGGATTTAACAAGACCTTATCTGATCATTATTACTTGACGTCTTTGGGTAAGGAGAAACTAAGTAAAGGAAATAGGTGCCTTTCTCAAGTAGGGAAACTCAATGACTCACCCAGAAACTCTGCTCAAAATAGAGCCCAGGATCTGGGTTTAGTCTTTTGCCACAAGAAAGATTGCAATCTCAAAAAATATGCTCTGCGTTTGAATTTGGATTGAATTAGATTGATGTCTTTGCTCAGAGTCCCAAGCCAGGATCCTTCCTGACTTGCTTTATCTCTATTCCTATAATCCAGTGGTTCTTAAGCAGGAGCAATTTGACAATGTCTGGGGACATTTTTGATGACAGTAAAAGGTTGGGGGTGGTTGGGTAGGCAGTGCTACTGGCATCTGGGGATAATGGCCTGGGAAGGATACTACTGAACACCCTACAATGCACAAGGCAGCCCCCCCTCCCCAGCAAAGAATTACGCAGTCCAATGTCAATAGTGTTATTGCTAAGAAACGCTGAAATAAACATAAATGTGTGCCTCTATGCAATAGATGTTGGCCTTTCTGTGTTACTAAAAGCCAAGGGCAATTTTCCATTATAGAAAAGAAAATGAATTCCAGAGAAGAAACTAACCCAATTTCTCCCTGACTTGGTTATGGAAGCATTGATTTGTGATTCCTATTATAACACTGATTAACCAAGAGCTAAACAGAAGACTTTAACTTATGAAAGTCTCTGTCTGAGATAAATTTTAAAGAATAAAATAATTGTGACTGTGATTCTTTTTAAACTTTTTACTCCTGGAGAATGTTGCAAAAAGAGCATAAGTTGAAAGTAAAACAAAAAATAAAGTTTTCTACTACTTGCCCTCTATACACCTCATTTTTTTCTTCTACAGAATGAAGTTAAATGGGAGAAACACTTTCCATTTTACAGAAAGGAAGGGATGAAATCAACCAAGGCATGTCCAGTCCATGGGCTAAAAAAGGGTTTCAATAAATGATAGTGGTATCAACTTGGGTTATTAGTTGCAAGCAACACAAACACATTCTGGCTGATTTAAGAGAAAAGAAATTATTGAAAGATAATTGAGTAGTACACAGGGATGTAGGAAAGCCTAGAGAACCAGAATTGGAAGTGGACAAGAATTTTAAAAAAGGCTGTATAGCCAGAATGACAGGCAAAAATCACACTTCTGTCTAGAGTCACCACAAAACATGGATATTCTGCCCTCCACTACTGAACAAGAAATTGGATACCATTACTGGTGCTGCTGCTACTGAAAAGGATGCCGCTACCCCTGCTCCCATTTCCACTCACTAGCAAGAAAACCTCTCTCAGTCCTGGCCTCACTAGCTCCACCTTAAAAACTTCGGGTAGGTGGTTTTGTTTAGGTGAGCCTAGGTCGTATGCCTGTGCTCTAGAGCTTGGGAAGTGATTATCTGACATTTTCAGTTCACTACTGGAGTTCTCTATTTCCCATATTCAAGTCACATAAGGTAGGGAATTTCCTAAACAGAGGAAGGGGAGTTAAATATGGACAGTCCCCCATTTGTAATGCCAAATGTGCATGATAGACATCTTTTTACCCTCACTCCTTTTTGCTCACCATGACCATAAAAGCCAAATGAGTTTTGAGTTAGTTATAATCAATGGGGGACCAAAAAATGAAATTTCCCATAACTGTTGTGACATGGCCTTTTGTGTAATTGTTTCATTGTACTTTCTGACTTGTTCATTTAGAAGACTATTAGATTTCTAATGAGATAATTTATTCTTATACTTTTTGTATAGAAGAGCAAAGATAAATGTTAAATGTTCAGAATGCAGTTGTTTTGGGCCCCTTATAGAACTAATCTAAAAGAAATATAAATGACAGAGGCTGATGAGGGGAGTCTGTGTTTGATCTACAAAGTCTGACAATCTGAGAAACAAGCAGTGACTTGACAGAGAATGAAAGAGGAAGAATCAATACTGGTAAACTCTGATACCACTGTTGATAAAGGGTGGTTTTAGATAAGGCTGAACCAAACTTCAAGCTGTGGGGAAGGGTAACTGAAGAATGTAGATCAGGTTAACAGTGGAAAAGTGGTTATAGTTGGTCTTTGAGAGTACAAGGAAATAAAAATATAGTAATAGAGATTTTTAAAAAAATTTTTTTTTTTTTTTTTTTTTAGGTTTGGGTACACCATACAAAATGTAGTATACCATATATTTTAACTATGGAATAGGTCAAGTAATTCTCAAAGCCTAAATTATATAGGACTTATTAGTCAAATCAACCAGATAATTGTTGAATAAACTTTTCTCTTTAGGGTGGGAAAATATTTCTTAGATTTTAAAAAAACATGTATCTTATAGATATTTAACATGTATTTTATAGATATCTAACTCCAGAGCCAATATAAATATATGTTTATCTGTGCTCTCTAGCAGGTGTCAAAGTATGTGTAGGAAAGTGACTGTTTTTAGAGGTTTCTGAGTAGACTGTTGTACTATTTTAATTATTCAATTGATCACACAAATATTTTCAGCATTCCTACTATATTCCAGGTCCTGTGTTAGGACCTCGGATTCAAAGATAAATAAGATACAGCTATTACAGCTTTTGCTGCTAAGGATCTCATAGTCTAAGGGGCTCCAAGAAAATATATAAAAAATGCTATAGCAGATATTTGCAGGAAACTGAATGGGGATAGAGTCCATAGCTTTATGTGAGGAGAAAAAAAAGGAAAGCTTCCTGGAAGAGGTGTCTGAGCTAAATCTTAAATCACTGTATCAAAATTCTCAAGTTTTAGGAACAAGAGAGCAAACAATTGTTCCATAGTTGTATATAAAAGAAATGACCAGGGTAATGAAGCTGGCTAATAAATCACTTTGGATGCCCAAACTTTACTCTGTTAGCATGTCTATCACAAAATTTCAAATCAATACTAAATGAAATAATACATATGAAAATGTTATATTCTAGGACTTTTCCCACTTAGCTCAAGTAAAATGGTAGTTTTACTTGGCTTTCTCTATTCATCATAGAACTTTTTATTGCAATCAACAGCACTTACTTAATACCTCTTCCTTCTGGTAGGGATATGGGAGAGTAAATGATACATGTGAAGCTTAGTATTGGGCCTGGCGCACAGTAGTGTTCAATAAATGGCAGCTTCCCTCTCCAGTTCAAGGTAGATCTTCTATGTACATTCACTACAGTGCCTTTGTAACTGATGATGCTCTAATAAATATTTGAGCTCTAACTTTACATCTAATCAGCAGTACCTACCAAAGAAATGTTTAGCATCTTCCCTCTTCCCCAGTTTCCTCAGTCCCCACCCTATTTATTCTTAGCAATACCTTCCGGTAAAATTTTGTAAAGATAAATTCCTAAAATAAGACTGTCACATTTAAGTTACATTAGAAATGTTTAATTGTGTAAGCAGGGTTCATGAAACAGTTATTGGAAGTTTCTGCCAATGCAATTGCAAATATAAATATCAAGATTTTATTATCTCTTGGAAAATAAATTCCATAAGTATTGAGATTACATACAATTCCAATTTCCAGAGTAGGTCAAGATAAAGCAAATGTAGATAGAGGACACTGCCAACAGATGGCAGCACATGACCATCAAAACCTGCTTTTCACGTTCATGTTAGATTGTGACTTGCAGAAATTCAAAACTCCAATCCAGGTGGGCAAAAGATAATGTCTACATAGAGAGCACCTCATGAGCATTTGAAATAGCCACACAGCACTAAGATAACAAGCACATAGGAATGTGGCAGCAGCTACACTGCATGGTAATGAGAAGGGACAATATGAAATGAGAGTATTCTGAGACACAGAGGGTGTGATTTGTTGAAGGTGTAAAGATTGTAAGTAGAAATGGGGCATTTTTTAAAATGAAATTTATTTTTAAGTGTAGTCCATATAACTCAAGAGACTGATAAGTAACAGAAAATAAGCATTACAATTACTTTTTGGTAGTATTTCTTTTTTCTTCTTCTTTTTTTATCCTCACCCAAGGACATTTTTGCATTTATCTTCAGATAGAGCAGAAGGGGGGTGGGGGTGGGGAGAGAAACATCGATGTGATTGCCACCCACATGACCCTAACCAGGGCGGAGGACAAACTACAACCGAGGTACATGCCCTTAGCCGGAACTGAACCCGGGCCTCTCTGGTCCATGGGCTGATACTCTAACCGCTGAGCCAAACTGGCCAGGGCAGTAGTATTTCTTATTTTTTAATAGATTTGCAGATGGCTATAACTGGGAAGAAATTATTTTTTTGAAAAAGCTTTTTGATTGATTGCCACTTTATTATATTGGTTATTATATTGGTAACTTATAAAAGAAATTATTTTCCTCATCCTTCTATAACCCATGCTAACCACTAAGACTGTAGAAAAAGATACCTAGATTGAAATTTCACCTCAGTTGATTTTTAGCCATATGACCTTACCAAGATACTTAAGCTTTTTGTAACTCATCTACAAAAAAGTGATAATAGCTACTTCACAGGATTTTGTGAGGGTCAAAGAAGTAAAGCAAATAGCACATGCTTAACACATAGTCTGCACTCCATAATTGAAAGCTATTATTATTGTGATTCTAGGTATGTGTTCCTCCCTCAATTTTAAATTATTTACTTCGAATTCCTGAAAATGCACTAACTATATTATGTGTAGAGAAAGTAGCTGGGAAATTGGTAGCTGTAGTAATGATGTTCTTGCAAATAAGGAAAATGAAAATAAAATTAATTTGTAGGGTAATAGGCAAAGATACAAATTTTAGTTTTATATTATTTCTGTGTATTAAAATCTGTATGAAGGTTCAGGGCAAGGATCTCATGGTTAGTTTTGCTTAGCTAAGTTTGCTGAAGCCAAAGGACTTTATTGACCAGTGCTAAGCAATCTGCCATGCAGTACCCCGAGAGCAAACTAAAGCCATGATTTCTTATTCTTCATTGGCATTGCATTGACAAGGGAAACACATTGCAGGCTTTGGTGATGATTAAATGGAAGAGTCTGTACCGTGAAGAGATCACAGAAGTCTGTAGTCAGCCAGTAAAATTTTCCTCTTGAGCAATTCAGAAGAGACCGTTCCCACCAGCCTACTCTATTCAGATTGGGTTTTCTTTGGTTTCCAAGACTTGGCTACTCTTGAAGGGGAAGGGGGTTGAAAGTGAGTAGGCGGGGTGATAAAGAGCAGCTGCTAAACATTCCCAACGGTAATGCAAAATTCAAATTAGATGTGTAGCTCTAAGGGTTAGATTCACTAGCCTATGAGTTCTACTTGAGGTTCATGTCTGATTCATTTTTATGTCCCCCAACTCCTCAACATGGCTCTGCATTCAGTATATTTATGCATATACGGATCATCATCATTTTGTTTTTCTGAAATGTCATGTGTGGGAACACTGGCACAGTTTTTGAAATAAATACACCTTTTACTGTAGTTGCTTTCGAAATGAATGACCTGTGGTGTAACAATAAAGAATACCAAGTGCCAAGCACTTAAGCTAAGCATTTTACCTTATTACTGAGGGAAGTAAACTCTGGAAACGGAGGCTTCGAGGCTGGAGAATACAACTAAGATGGCACAGCTAATACTGTATGTGACAGGGCTTAAGACTTGAACCCAAGTTTGCTTGACTCTTAATCACAAGACATGCCTCGTGTTAATTCAGCAAAACCTGATCAGCAGCGTCTCTTCAACATCCAGTTTCCACCCGGATTTAGGGCCTGGTTTTCCAAGAAGAGCCTTGTGTCCACCCACCGCACCCTAACAGGGACTGGGATGTTATAGGTAAAAAAACGTGGCCAGTGCGCATGCTCACACGGCCCTTCCTCACTCCCTTCCCTGCCCTTGGACGTCACCGTCGCAACTTTCATGGACAACTTTAGAACGGCCCGGGCCCACTGTGAAGTCAAACGAGCTGAAGCCGTACGCCCTCTGAGACGTGGACACGCTTCCCTTCCTCGAGCCTTTCCAATTTGGAAGCCTACACCATGCACCTCTGCTCCGCGCATGCAAGAGTTTGCCAGTTGTCAATATGGCCGCCGACGGCCCGTCCCCAGCAGAGGCTTTTCATAGGCCAAGGTCACATCCTAGCCCCGCCCATTTCGTCCCTCCGGCTGCGTCCGCCTAGGTTCTCGGTACGCATGCGCAGCCTGAGCTGGCGGGGACGTGGGACGTGGGGTCTTCCGTGTGCCACGGTGCTGTCTCAGCCTCGCTGCTCCTGCCATTCCGGCCGCATTGCCGGCGTTATCCGCGCGGGGGGAAGGGAGGGGACGGACGGAGCGTGCGTGCGCGGGGATCCCCGCAGGCCCAGCAGTTCCTCTCGCGCGGGGTGGGCGGCTGGGGTCAGCAGCAGTCGGGGGAGGCCCTAGACGGCGCCATGTCGGCGGGCGGACCGTGCCCGGCAGGAGCCGGAGGGGGACCAGGGGGCGCCTCTTGCGCTGTGGGAGTCTCCCCCGGAGGGGTATCCATGTTCCGGTGGCTGGAGGTGCTGGAGAAAGAGTTCGACAAGGCGTTCGTGGATGTGGATCTGCTCCTGGGCGAGATCGATCCGGACCAGGCGGACATCACTTACGAGGGGCGACAGAAGATGACCAGCCTGAGCTCTTGCTTTGCACAGCTTTGCCACAAAGTCCAGACTGTGTCCCAAATTAACCACAAGCTAGAGGTGAGCTTTGGGCGCTGGAAGGGGTGGCATTTAACCCCAGTCATCAGATTCCATTTAACGAGTCAGTGAAATGACTGGAAAACTGCCCAGTGGGGCACCGGGGCCTCAAATGTCGCGGGGAGTGGGTGCGTATATATGTATGCATGAAGAAAGGAGTGAGGTGAGGCTGGAATAGAAAAAGGGGTGTAGTTAGTACCACGTGTGGGTCTCCCGGGCTCTGGTCATCCACCTTCCTACTATGTGAGGAGGAACTAATTACACTAGTCTGCTTGTGCATACTGCATTAATCCAAGACTTAAGCTCAAAGATTCTGTCATTAGAATACCTTAGCCCTCCTTACAACATTTGAGTTTTTAGATCTGTCTTCACATTAATAAACTAGGTTGTGTTATCACCAGACAGATACAGTCCTGGCCGGTCAGTGTCTATTGTTGCACACAGACATACTATCTCTTGCATGCATGAACTATTCAGGGGAATTTGATCAAAGCTCTTAGGAAAATTTAGTGGGATCAACACAATAGTATTGATGTCCTTCTCTGTTTACAGTGCTAAGACTTTTACACATATTGATTAATCTAATTTTCACAATGGCCCTCCCTGTGGGGCAGGTTTAGTATTGTTATTACCATTTTACAGGAATTAAGTAAAGGGTCTGAGACCAGAAAATTAGGTAAATGAGTCTCCAAAGACTCATTTATGTCTGGTGGGAGAAGGAGGAGGTTATGAGAAAAGCTGGCAGAAAGAGTGAGTGTGGCTGGATCAATAGCTGGAAGGGAGAGTGTGGCATTCAAAGGAGGTATTGTTTTCATTTTGCTTTTAAATGAAAAAATAAACATATTTATAAGCCAATGAGAACAATCTAGTTCAGGGGAAAGCTGGATGTTCTAGAGAAAGAGAGGGATAATTGGCATTAGAAAGGTCTCTGAGGGGAGGAGATGAGACCCAAAATACATGTAGAGAGAATAGTCTTATATTGAAAGGACAGCTGTTATACTTAGAAAGGAGAGATGATGAGAGCAGAAGATAGGAGGTTGAGGGAGTGTTTTTGTGTGATGGTTTCTTTATTTGTAAAATAGGAGCTCAGGACAACTTCTAAAAGTGGGTGAAAGTAAGAGCTTGAGTAGAGTGAAAAGATTTGAAATGTTATGGAAGAGTGGGAGAGCCATTTGGCCAGAGAAATAGAAGGACTGCCAGGCAATGTTGAGGACTTATTTGGAGTTAGTTATAATAAATTCATGGTACAACCAGTCTGCCTTGTTGTGTGACTTTCTCCAGCAATACTTGTTTAGTAACAGGCAGAGTGATGAGAATAATAATGGAGTTCATCCAGTGCTGTAACAAGGAGTTTGCTATATAAACAAATTATTTATATAGCAAATCCTCACCCCAAAGACACTTTTCCATTGATTTTCAGATAGAGTGGGATGGAGGGAGATAGAGAAACATTGATGTGTGAGAGACACACTGATTGGTTGCCTCCTGCACGACCCCAACCAGAGCTGGGGATGGAACCGAAACCAAGCTATGTGCCCTTAACCAGGATTGAACCCCTCGGTCCCCAAGTGGTGCTTTAACCACTGAGCCAAACCGGCCAAAGCATATAAGCAAGATTGTTTTTGAAATGAAAATGGTAATGGGAATGAAGAAAAGGAGATAATCTTCAGTTAAAGAAGTAGAAACAGGATTTGATAATAGCTGCAGAGGACGTGGAAGAGGAAGTGTTAGGATGACATCACATTAATGACTGTAATGGGTTCAGTATTGTCTTCCCAAATTTATGTGTACCCAGAACCACTGAATGTGTCTTCATTTGGAAATAGGGTCTTTGCAGATGTGTTTAATTAAGGGTCGAGATAAGATCATAGCCATTTAGAGAGACACTCAGAGGACATACAGTGACACAGGGAAGAAGTCTATGTGAAGATGGAATCAGAGTCTGGAGTGACAGGTCTGCAAGCCAAGAAATGCCAATGAGTGCCAGCAACCACCAAAAGCTAGGAGATAGACATGGGGCATTTTCTCCTTCAGGGTCTCCAGAAGGAACAAACCCTGCCAGCACCTTGATTTTGGGCTTCGGGCATCCTGAACTATGAGAGAATAAATTTTTGTTCTTTTAAGCCACCAAGTTTTTGGTTATTTGTTATGACAGTTCTAGGAGACTTACACAATTCACCAGAAGGAGCAGGTCTGGCAGGAAAGATATAAATTAAATTTAGGAGATTGTGTAAGTCCCTATCCTTTCTTCTATATTCCTAACAGTCTCCTAATTGCTTCTTACCCCCTTCAAACCATCTTTTAGTTGTCAAAATCATTCCAAAATGTTTTATTTTAATGATTCACGTCAAAAAAGGCAACTTGGATTCTGTCACTCTTCTTTTATACCTCCCTGTTTCTTCTTGGCTTCAACTCAAACTCTGTAGCATGGTGATCAATGCTCAGGCTGTCTGTCCTTATTTTTTGTCATCCTTCATAGCTACTTTTGCCTCAATCAAACTGGTCTATTTGCAGTTCTGTAAATAGACCTTGCCCTTTCCTGTCGTCTCTACTTTGGCTTAGGCTTTTATGTCTAATGCCTTCTCTGTCCCCTTTGTCAACAGTATCAAATACCCACTTATCTTTCAAGATACCACTTACATCACCATCTCTGTGAAAGCTTTCCTCACCCTACTCTTCTCTGTCTCTATAGGAAGAAGCTGTCATAACACCTTGAACCCACTTGGACTGTTAGATTTGTTACATTGTGCATACTATAATTAGTGGTTACCACGTCTCTCTAGTTCTAGGAGGTAAACTCTTTGAGGATCAGGACTATGCTTGGGTGAAATAACCTGAACTATCAAATGCTTTGTGAAGATCACCTTAGGGGGTAACTTATCTCTTTGTGACCGACTTTGATTTCTCAGAGTTTTTTTCTCCACATTGCTCCCAAAACATATTGAGTAGTAATTCCTTTGAATATGGATATGAGTTTGATTTACATGTAGATTACAGAATTGGTGTTTTGCCCCTTTCTAAAGTTAAACATTTAAAGCTCACACAGTAAACCAACCTTTCTGGCCTACTTATATCCCTATCTTACCTGCTGGGTGTTTTCATATCTCAGACCTTTTCCTTTCCCTACTCCATGTATTAGCTGATTTTCCATTCAGTACTCAAGTCAACTTGTTCTATTTTGTGACTGACCCCCTTCACTTCTTTTTGAATTGGTACATCACACATGCCTCTATAATAGTGCTTAGAATACGCTACATCATAATTGGAAATATATTTTTTTAATTATTTTTTATTTTTAGAGAGAGAGGAGGGGAGAGGGAGAGATAGAAACATTGATGAGAGAGGACATTGACTGGCCACTTCCTGCATGCCCCCCGCTGGGGACTCTGCGCACAATCTGGGCACGAGCCCTGACCGGGAATCGAACTGGTGACTTCTTGGTGCATGGGTCAATGCTCAGCCACTGAGCCACACTGTCCGGGCATGGAAATATATTTTTTGATTCTTTTTACTAGACAGTGAAAGTCTTGGCAGAATCCCTCTCTTATTCAAATCTTTTTGTCTCCAGATCCTGGCACATAGTATATACTCAGTAAGTGTTTATTTGAATGAATAAATAATTTGAAGCACTTCTAGTGTTCTACTATGAATCCTCAAAGATCACTAATAATCATTCTGTAATACAAGTTCCATGAGAGCTGGGATAGTGTCTGTTTTGTTGACTCTATATCTGTAGTGTCCAGTGTAGTGCCTGCTACAATATTGAATGACTGAATCGGCAGGTTCATTTATTCCCTTGCTATGTAATTTATAAGGATATGATTTGTGAGTTAATATTTCATGGTATTCTATTTTAAGAAAAATTGGAAACTGTCTAAAAATGATATTAAACATCATTATATAAGAATATTGAGTATGGATTTAGTGTACTTGTGACATTTCTAAAATATCGGGTAGGTTGATTCTCCTTACCCTACCTTCAGTTTGATCATGGAGCAACATCAAAAACTCACATTTGTTAATATGTTTCTCATCAGAAAAACTTTAACTGGTGGTTTGGTAATGGATTCAGGTTTTTCAAAATTCTACTTTTCACTTGAAAGCACAATTTTTTTCCTTTGGCAGCAAATGCTGTCAATTGTTTTCCTTGAAATAACAAATTTATTTATTCTCAAGAAGGTATCTTGCCAAGTTTATTAATCTTAAGAACCATAGTTTGTTCTTTCAAATAAAAATAATGTTATTCACACGCATACACAGATGTTCAGCTTGGTAGCTTAAGCAATTGTATAATTTTCTTCAGATAACATAGTTTGCTGTGCAGCAGATATACTTTATGCATACTTCCTGTTTCATCACACTGAATGTTAAAAGGACGTGTACCCAAGGGTCAAGATTTTTAAAAATTAATCATTTTTAGTGCTTCATCAAGGGCATTCTTAAATGGATATTTTTTATTTTTTTAAACTGCTAGTGCATAGTCGTGAAGAATATCATGACTCCTGGTACAGCCTGGTGCCACTGCATTAACTTGCACTAAAATGGCAGCATTTTACTGTGTTTGCTTTTGCACCTTCAGTAGAAATGTTAACACAGTGAAAAAGGCAAATAATGTTTTATTATTCTGAAAATAGTTTTGATCTTGTGGATCTTTTAAAAAGATCCCACAGACCTGTGAGAACAGCTGCTATGATAATAACCGAAACACTTCCCAGATGGCTAGCCATACAATCTCACCCCACTAATTCTCTTCTTTTAGTTTCTGTTATATGGCTTATATAGTTTGTAATTATATATGTTGCTGGCTCTGGAATGACCTTGGACAACTTACCTAACCTCTTTGTGCTTCTGTTTCCTTCTATGTACAAAAATTATGTCTATCAGGATTATAGTGAGGACTAAGGCAATTAAAATATGAATATGTTCAAAACAGTGCCTGGCCCATATCTTGCTGTTATTATATATTCCATTTGTTATCCTCACAAGCTGCCTCCTGCACCAGA